AATATTTTTTTCGAAAACTGTCAACAAAAGTCGACAATTTCGTTAAATTTTCGGTTGACAAAGTGAGTCTTTTTTGTCACCTAGCTGCAAAAATATGTTTTAGAATGCAAAAGTCTTTTTCGTTCTAAAACATAAAACAAATGTCAAAATAATTTGTCATTTTTTCGAAACTAATTTATGATTTTATTAATTAAACAATATACATTTTAAGTAATATAACATTTCAATACAAAGCGGTAATCATTATAAATAGGACGATTACAATTTATTTTGCAGTACATGTAAATTGAAAGTGCCGATAATGCAGTGAGTTAAATTTATGCCAGATCCAGTGCTGTCAATTATAGCAGCTTTTAGTTATGGGTGTTCAATGAAGCTGCTGCTGTAATTGTTTAAATTTACTGCGAGCGTTGTATTATTGGCAAGTTCCGTAGGCTCTGCGGAAATGGTAAGAATTTATTTGCGATTGAAATTTTATTTTGTATGCAATCTTCTATATATGTCTCTGTGTACTAGAACGCCATCCCCATGTCGTTTAATGGTGGTAATATCGGCCCCTGCGTCGGCTGACAGAGTGGCGGAAGAATGTCTAAAGTAGTGCCCTGTATAAGTTTCCGAGGCAAATTGAGATAAGTTGCTATTTCTTTTGGCACATTCCTTATTTTGTTGACGCTTTTCTCTGACATACTTCACAAAAAATCTTCGACTTGTAGTAATTGCCGGATGTAAAGCGGTATATCTTCATTTGGTCCGGACTTGAAATCACAAAATATCTCGGAGTGTCAGTTTTGGAATCGAGAATTCTTATAATAATAATTGAATCTTTGTCTTCTATAGGTATCATCGATCGTTATCTTTAGTAGCTCATCTCTTCTCAAAGTTCCACAAACACCAATTATGAAAATGACCTGAAAAGTTGTCCAAAATTAGTTAAATCGATCGATTTATATTAATTTGAATTACCTTTTCTGGTAGAAATTCAGGTACTTCTTGTAAAAATTTCCCAATTTCCTCTATTCTGTATTCTATTCTAAATTCTGTAATTTTTCGGGCGGTATCCAACTGATTTGCTTTCCATATATGGTATTTATTAGTCTTAAAAATTTTCTGATATCTACATTTTTTTTGGCATTCAGTGTACTTTTTAAGATGGTATATACTGACCATAACGCCGAAGGCTAAATTTTATTAATTTTATGTCCGAAATATGCCAGTAATACCGCTTCGGACACTTTATGGATTTTCTTTGAACTATACCCTTTGAATTCTTTGTAGGCAATCTCGTATTGCCTTGACGATTTTTTGGGGATTAATTGTGAAGCAGCACTTTGTGCCGCTTCCAATATTTCCCCTGGTAAATGCTCGTCTTCACCTTCTGAGCTCATTTTGAATTAAACACTTTGAATATGAATTACAATATACAGTTCTGACACTACTTTTTTAAACAACTAATTTGTATTGTTTATTAGGTTGCTATTGGTATGATAGTCTTGATTCAAACACGGTTCAAATGATTTCAAATATAAATTAAATTGTTTTATATAACACAATTGTCTTAATTTATTGCTTTATTCGCGTTCTAGATACAAAAATACACTTGATATAGCGCTTCAAAATAACAAACTGCAATAGTAAAAATATCAACACAACTGTTTTGCTTCATACTGACGTTTCTGTATTTTTCATTAGGCTGTCTATGGAACCGAAAATGCCAGATTAGGGTTTCTGATTTCTCGGCCTACTTTTTTTCTCGGGACTCGAGAATTCTCGAGTAGGAATTCCCGGGAATTCTCGAATTATCGAGAAATTTCTAAAACTTAAAAAATTTTAATATTCCAATGCGAAATACAGGGTGTCCGGAAATTTATGCAACAAAATTTGGTCATAGATTCTTAAGACAAATTCAGGGGACCCGTATTTTTTTTTTGGCCAACTGGCCCCCTCTTTCGGAGTTACAGCCACCTGAAATCTGCCCCTAAGAAGTCTTTTTTTATGTCTCAAAACCATGTTGTACGAGAATCACTAAATTTGGTACACAGGGGTTTTATGACATGTGGAATCTCACAGTGCTACGCTTTTTGGCGAGAAACCCCCTTAAGACACTTTTTCGTGCCAACCCCCCTCCTCCCCTTGTCTTTGGAACCAGAAAATCGCAAATTTGATTTTTTTTAGTTATTAGTTAGCTAGAAAGCCATTGAATTTAGAAACTTTTTTGTCTCTTGATATTTGTTTCGAAAAACGCAATGTTTTTGAGGAAAATGGCGAATCACGATATGCATTTGTTCACATTTTGATATTTTTCTCGAAAACATTGCGTTTTACGAAAAAAGTATAAAGAGACAAAACGTTTCTAAATTTAATGACTTTCTAGTGGATTGATAATTTTTAAGAAATTTAAATATGCGACCAAATTTGTTTAGCTCCAAAGACAAGGGGGCTCACGAAAAATTGTCTTAAGGGGGTTCCCCGCCAAAAAAAACGTAGCACCATCAGATTCCACATGTCATAAAACCCCTGTGTAGCAAATTTAGTGATTCTCGTACAATAGGGTTCTGAGATATAAAAAAAAAGATTATTCTTAGGGGCGGACTTCAGGGGGCTTTAACTCTCAAAGAGGGGGCCACTTGGCAAAAATAAACAATACGGGTCCCCTAAATTTGTCTTAAGAATCTGTGACCAAATTTTGTTGCATGAATTTCGGGACACCCTGTATAAACATGCTATTATACATAACAATCATCATCAACATTTATTATTTATCCAGTATTTTTATTAATTACTTATGTTTCTACTTCTACTAACAAAACTAAATTAAACTTTGAGTATCTTCTTCCTGAAACCTTTAATTTGTTTTTTTATTACACTTTCAATATACTTATGTTTATTTCAATGTTTTTAAATCGTAGCTTTCTTCCAATAGTTAATAATAATCATTAATCACGCAGTCTTTTAATTAAACAAATAGTAGATAAGGAATGTAACCGAAGAAATCTTTTAAAAAACCAAGCTTTAATTTAAAGATACAGAAGCGTTCCTATTAATTTATCACTTATAATCACAATCTTTTAATTAACAAAGCAAACATAAGATAATCAACTAAAGGAACATGAACTAAATATTTTCAGAATCAACATCAACATTAGGTATCTGCTAATAAAATTTCTTATAAAAATAGTAGGTACATTAAAAAAATAAAAATCATCAAAGTAGACTGAAGCCTTAAAACTTAAAATAAATAAATCATGAGCTAGTCGGAGAAACCACTTTAACCGCTCAGCTATTTGTCGAGAAACGAATTGAACGCATGAACGAAACGAACGTGCAGCGGGGCGCTGCGCGAGAGGGGAGGGCATAGACAAGCACAATTAATCCAAAAACTCCAGTCAAGAACTTAAGACGCGCGTGATTTTTAAATTTCTCGATTTCTCGATTTCTCGATACTTTTTTCTCGTCTCGAGTAAGGCCAGATTTCCCGGGAATTCTCGCTTCGAGAAGTCTCGATCAGAAACCCTATGCCAGATTTATCTATACTTTCCATGTTTAAAAAATTTAGCGCCTTCAAAATACATTTTGAACCGAATGGAATATAATTTGCAATGTCCTCGAAAAGGACAAAATACAGGTATTACAAAAAATGGTAAACAAAGACTTAATTGAGAAATCCACAAGGAGGTAAGCTTCCGTAACAGTAGCTGGTTCTGGATTTGATCTAATATTTATAGTTTTCTAGTTTAAGAAGTTTTCTCATTGCACTGAAATAAGTTAATTATAACGCTGTTTTTCACTTTAATGACACTCTGAGTAGGTTGTTCAACCTAATATTGAAAATTATTGACGAATACGATCGGGGACTAATGGCAAGAATATATAATTAACTTCGAAATTAACAAGATTTTATTGGGTAATAGTATTTCTTTCTTCAAGACAAATATATGATTCTTTAATAAAGAAATATAGTTTTTGGTAATATTAATAGTAATATATATGTCTAAGTCAAGCTAAGTTCACTTTGCTTCGATTTGCATGTGCGTTTCTTATTTTAAGATTTAGGTTTCCTTCCTATGTTTTACAAACAGAAAAACCTGACCTAACCTACCTTATCAGTTTAAATTTTTTATTAACAATCAAGAAAAGCATGCATATTGGGATCCTCGAAGCAGAATGAGTTAACTGTCACAAATATAGTCCTGATAAATAAAATTTACTTAAATAAATAATATGTTACTGATTTAGTAAGACTAGAAATCGTTTATGCCATATAAACTAATATATCCAACTCCTATATTTTGCCATTTGGTATAATTATTTTAAAATTCGTTTGAAAACTATACTGGGGAGTTAAAGGGTCATTTAGCATTCTTACAATAGGACACTCAGCGTAGTGGGTGTCCTTGTGCGCATATCAAAGAAATATTTACATTTTATTTAAAATCTTGCAAAATTTAAGGTGAAAACAAATAGTTCTTTTATAATTAATTCTCTGTCCAGTGTAGTCAAATTTGTTAATTCAAATATATTCACAAAATTTCGTTTTCAATGTTAATATTTGAAAGGGTGACGAGTCGACATTTAGTTTGTCATAAAAGTCTTAACTTTTTTAGTTCAATGGAACTCTTGGCATACTGATTTTTGAAATCTAATTAATAGTCATATTCTTCTGTATTAATTTAATACGTTTATTGATATTTAGGGCATAAGTAATTATACTTCAAAAATCAAGTTTCTTCAAAAGACATTTTTTGAAACATTCTTGAAGTGGTTTCTTTGAAGGCCTATCTTATAGCTATAAGTTATAGCTATAAGGTTATACATAATTAATATATATTTATAAATTTTGATTAATTTAATTATTACAGCATCTGCTATCTTCATGCAAAATGTATATTATGTATTAACCATGAAACTAGTTTCATCAGATATTGAGAGTGGGTGTGTAATCTTCTATGGAGTGGTACTAAAAATGTACATTTTTGATTACAGATCTCTCATATATAAATATATCAGAGAAAAAAAAAATATTAGTCTTGTTCTACTATTCGACGAAATCGGGCAATATGATCAAACTGGTAAGGAAAAATCAAAATAATAATAATATAATATTATTTTATAGCTTCTAAAAAATTTGAGTAGTCTTAAACTGTACTAATAAAATTACGAAGCAACCAATTGACATGCTCTTATATACCAGAGTGGTGCGATAGATTATAATCTAATAATCGATAATTATCGACGTTTATTATTCTGTTATTCCAGGTGATAGCTTTCACTTTAATGACAGCAGCACTGGCTGCCATTACACCAACACCACCAGGGAAAATTATTGCAATTCTTCGGTCATCGAGTGATATTGCTCCAGATGGTAGCAGTTATAAATACGAGTAAGTATATTGTGACTCAAATTATTTCAAGTTGTTCTTGTGGTGATTCTAATATGCTTTAAACAACGAACATTTAATTATTTTCCAACGACTACTTGATCCTACCACCGCTAATGTGATTTTTAGGTGGTATTTCTTTTGAGACTCTTTAGGATGATATTGCTCATAACTTTTAAACGGGAAGGGATACATAAAAATTTCTCTAAGAAAAGTTTACTAGAAAAAAGGGAGCTTTTAACTGTTTTAACTTTTCCTGTGAAAAGATATAATTGATGACGTCATTAGTCGTTTATGTCAAATCCCAAAGATAAAACTTTCAATTGAAAATGGAGCTTACATTCAACACCACGTGTCCCAAATTTTATTTAAATATTTTGTATCCTCACAGTAGGTCCATATTATCGAGTTTGAGAGACCATGTACTATAATAATAAATATTTAATACAAATATATTATGTACAATTTTGTTACAGCTATGAGACCGAAAATGGAATATCTGTAGAAGAAAGTGGTAGTCTGGCAGGCAATGGACCCGATGCTGCACTAACTGCAGTTGGATCATACAAGTTCACTCTTCCTGACGGAACTCCAGCTGAGGTAGCTTACATTGCTGGTCCCGATGGATTCCAGCCTACTGGAAATATAATACCAACTCCACCTCCAATTCCAGAAGCGATTCAAAGAGCTCTTGCATACAATGAAGCCCATCCCGAACAAGATTCTTCCGAACCTGTCGGTCACAAAGGATTCCTTTTAACTTCATTTTAAATGTAGAATAGTACGAATGTTGCTTATTTAATGCCATAAATAATATATGTATTAAAAGATACATAAATCCTTTTACTGTGCAGTTGCTTAACTTAGTTTACATAGTTACCAATTCGGTTTATGACCCTTTTTAATAAATATAGTCTAAAGAACTTAGTTTAGTTATTTAATTATTGCTAACTCATTTTCATTGAGTATTAATATTTCAAGTTTGATATTGTCTGGTGATATAACAACCTTAACTCTTAAACGGATTTGAGTTTTTCTTTTATGCTACCTTCTATCAAACTAACATATATAGACGGAGAGCTGGTAGACATTTTTGGGTAGGTGTTTGAGGCACTGTGAAAGATTGTTCAAAACTTCTTCTCGTGATACCTGAATACGAAAATGCAGACCTGGCTGAAGGGTTGCGGGGCTTAAGTGAACATTAAATTTTTAAAGAAGCAAAATTTTATTGCAAAAAATATTCTTGAGGCACTGAAATTTTTCCAGTATAATATTTGTGACTAAAAATAGATATTTACAAAAAGACATGTCGTTTTGGTGGGACATTTTACTTGCCAAGTGAGTGAGAATGTAATTATACATACATATACAGGGTGATTCACTTTTTATGATTAAGACGTTAACCATCTATAGATTTCGTCAAAATAATGTCATTTTGAAGTATATACTTTTTCTTCCAAAGTCTTCCTTTTAGAGATAACGGCTCTTGAAAAAAAATTTTTTTTGGTTTTTATTTATTATTTCTAAAACTATGAGTCATTTGTTTTATATTTAGTATGAAGTGTACAAACAAAGAAGATTTAAATACTTTATCGACGACTTACCATTACTTCTAAGGAGAAATATGTGGATTCAGATAAATGGTGCTCTGGCTCATTATGGTCTTCAAATTAGGCAATGGCTCGGGGAGCACTATCCACGTCGTTGGATCAGGCGTATTTTGGAAATGAATCATGCAGATCCTGGTACCGGTCCCATAGCTTGGCCGCAGCGATCGCCAGTCTAAATCCCATGGACTATTTCGTTTGGAGATTTATTAAATAAAGGGTGTATAGTTCTCCAGTCTGTACTCTTGAAATGTTAAGAAGAAGAATTGAAAACAATTACGAAACTCTTAAATACAACCCCAATATGACTAGGTGAGCAATTCAAAGCTCAATTAGGCGATGTGCGAAATGCTTTGATTTTCGAGGACAACGTTTTGAACATTTGTTGTGATACTTTTTCTTTTGTTCTCTATTGTCAATTGTTATTTCTGTTTGTTTCTCAATATCAAATATTTTATTCTGTAATACTTTTTTTGAAAAACTTAACCATTTCACATGATTGTAATGAATCAATTTTTCTTGAAAATCAAGCATTTCATTTAAAAATAGTAACAGATCTTTTTATTGCGTAGAATAAACCGCAATGTAAAAAAAATATATTTATTCTGAAAAATTTCCAGTGGCGTAGAAATTATATTAAAAATAGGGCTTATCAGAGCCCCTTACGGACACCTGTGATTGATCTATTTTCACAAAAATTTGTAAAATCGATAGAGCTTTTCATTCGTACACTTCATACTCAATATAAAACAAATGGCTTTCATAGTTTAAGAAAAAATAAATAAATAAATAAAAATATATTTTTTAAGAGCGTATATCTCGCCTTTGGAAGAAAAAGTGTATACTCCAAAATGACATTATTTAGACGAGATCTTTCGATGGTAAAGTCCTAATTATAAAAAGTGAATCACTCTGTATATAATTAAATTCTCACTCACCTGGCAGGTAAAATGTCCCACCGAAACGACCTGTTCTTTTGTAAATATCTATTTTTACAAATATTATGCTGTAAAAATTTCAAAGTGCCTCAAGAATATTTTTTGCAAAAAAATTTTGTTTTAAAATTTTAATTGTCGCTTAAACTCCGCAACCCTTCAGCCATGCCTGCATTTTCGTATTAAGGTATCACTAGAAGAAGTTTTAAACAATTTTTCACAGTGCCTCAAATACCTACCCAAAAATGTCTACCAGCTCTTGGACTAATATCAGTAGTTTTACTAACACATATCAATACTCAGATTAACCAATGAGAATACTTACATCTAAACTACATCGTTTTACTTTTTCATGAAGACGAATTTTTAAAACCGGTTTATGGATATATGTTTTTTGTAATGTAATGACACTTATATTAAAAATAATGACGATAAAAATTGCAGTTAGTGATCAGAAAAATAAAATTACATCAAGTACTGGCTATCTGTAGTTTTATAATTAAAGATTGTATTGGTGCTTTTGTGGAACCCCCGTTTTATACAGGGTGTTTCTTAATAACATGCTAATATTTAAGGAATACAATACAATTCAATACAAAACCTGTACAGACGCCACTGGTAAAAATAATAAAATTGTTTGTACATCAGAAAATGCATCTCGATGAATAGAAGGCGTGTACCAAATTTGAAAAAATATCTAGGGTAATACCAAAGACAGGTGACAGGTCTTATTTATCATTAGCAAAGTTTCTTAATGTATGCCTTTGGTTAGCGGTTGTTTTGTATTTATATTTGGGCGGTAAGAGCAACGATCGTGGATTTCTCTGTCATGCTCTTTCCCTACAGGAGCTCTAGGTGAGCCCCTGTCACTCTCATTTTATGTTAAATGGTCGCTAATGTTTTTGTTGTTCTTTCTATTTGTCACATGTTTAATTTGAAGACTGTTGTACATAAATAATAAAGTTAGGTGTATTTACTCTGCTTTTGTTCTATAAAATTAAACCATATATCCCCTCAAAAAAAGTTAGTAGCCAGCGCCTTCCGGTCAATATAAAAATAGATGCACACAACGTAGGTATTCCTTATGACGATCACATATTTTTGGCCACGACTACGTTTATTCGTTTATTTATTTTATCGAACCTAGGATTGTTATATTACAAAATGGACCCAAGAATAACCTCCTTAAATATTAGCATGTTATTAAGAAACACCCTGTATATTTAATCTTATTTTATCAATTAGTATGTTCGGAAAACCAGTAAAATTATGTCCAATAATTTAGAATGGTAAGTTTTTTTGAGATAACCGTGAATCTACCATTTAGTCAAATTATTTACATCAGTTAATCAACATAGATTTATGGACATAATGGTCAACTCGAACTAACTTTGTAAGTTTTACTCAGTTTTTATCAGAAGCTTTAATCGGTCTTTTTTTAAGCTTAAATCAATTCGTTTTTCAGATAACTTAATAAAATTATTTGAATCATACTCTCCACGTTGCTATTTCTGAGGTTTCTTAGGATTCATATCTTGGCAGACATTTATTCTTAATTGTTATTAATGGTCTCAATTCTACTTGAAATCCATGTCTACTCATTGTTGACGATTTGAAAATAATTCCAAGAATAGATTCTGTATTGGGTGTCTCAGTTTTAATATATGAGACTTTGGGCGTATATAGTACTACGAAAAATAATAGTACTTTGTCGTAGGGTCTTAATAGTTAAAAAAAATATATATATATATTTTCTGTAATAATAGACGTATTTGAACTACACTTGGTGTACGTTATATTGGGTCAAGTTTCCATAAAATACTGTAATATCAAGACTTTTGCGCAACCAGTGGCGGATATATGGGAAACTACTTTATAAAAAAATAATACGGTCCTGTGTTTTTGTGAAAAAAGCAGGTCATTGGAAACAAACAATGCCTCTTACATTTTGTCGATATCTGTTTCTGTTTTACGGCAAATTGAATTTCTCTTTTTCCTTTCAAATTAGCCAGATACTGTGTGCTAATGGATTTTTTAAATTCCTGTTACTGTCATTACCATCGCCATGCACATTGCCATTGTCCTTACAATTGGGAATGCCACTGTCACTGCCATTGCCATTGTTATTGTTATCATTATTGCTATTATTGCTATTATTGTGATTGTAGCTTCAATTTTATTTTGTAATACGTATAACAAAGGAGTTTTACCCATATTAAGCGTAATCTAGTGATAATTATATTTTTATAGTTATATAAAAAAAAAATAATAGTAATGAATATATCAGTATATTTTATGAACAAAGAGTGGAATTACGCCTTAATAAAAACAATCCATTTGTTAAAGTACTATTTACAATATCAAATTTAATTAAAGAAATTAAATACATATTAAGTTAAAAATTGTCATATTATTGACACATACAATATAGCTTCTCCCCAGACCGTTACTGGAATAGGACAGCAGTTTTAAATTTCCGAATTGTCTATATGTAGAGTACACCAACAGCAGGATTTTAGGAACGGCTCGCATTCCTACGTGTATCCTAGCAACATTGCACTTTGGCAATGTTGCCAGGCGCACTTACGGATTTATTTTGTACACTTTTTTATCAATATCTGTTTTTTGTGTTACTGTATTTACTTAAATGTATGATGTAGGTATTGGTAAAAATGTTTTAAATAATCAAAGAATATCTATGTAGTGTCATATGATATTCTGCATCGGTGTCACAGTTCAGTTACATATTTAATCATAATTTCGTTAATTAGCTACTATACTAATTTTTTGGTATTGATATACTGCAGAAAATATATTTCTAAATAAACAAAATTCGTAATGATATTTTAAACAGCATAATGGTTAATATACAAGGTGGGTTATTAGTCGCGGAATGTAGTTACAGAGCTTTTTTTTGTATTTTGACATCCACTTATAGATTTAATAATTAAAACTTTAAATACAAATGTACTTTTCCTTTATTTCTTTTGATATCAAAATTTGCTGGCATAAAATATGTTTACAGTAAAAAAATCATTAAAAAAATTAAAATTCACCCTTATTGAAATAACAAACAACGATTTTTATAACTAACCTTTACAACAGCATATGGAGAATACCTAAAAACGAAATAACATTAATATACCTACAATTTATTCAAATTTTCTACATGCAAGTAATTGTTATGATACAGTTGAAAATATGCTTTAATTTACTATTTATTACTTTAAAAACAAATTCAGTATTATCAAACATTTTGTCCTGTATTTTTTTCAATACTTGTAAGTTTTTGTAATTTTGTGTCTGATTGTGTGCGATAGAAATAGAGTGACTTTGTCCTCATAGAGGGCTTTTCTCTCTCTGTCTCTCTCTCTCTCTCTG